ATCAAATGCATCAAAATTTTACTATTTAATTTATTTTTAACTCAAAATTATTTTAAATTGAAGTAAAAAAAATATTATAAAAATACAATACATCAAGTTTTAAAGATCTATAAAACTCCATATGAGAGATTTTATGACTACACTGAGGAAATAGATATAATTTATCTTTTAATTGTTAATATTTAAAACATAATATTTTTCCCAAAAAAATGTAATAATAAAAAATTTAGTTTGAGTTAAATTTGTTTAATATTATATATATATATATATATATATATAGAGAGAGAGAGGAAAGCAAGTTGAACGGTGTTAGCACACGTGGGGAAAGTGGAAGTTAATGGCCGGGAGCAGTTAGATACGTTAGTAATATCAGATTAGCGACCTTTTTGTCATACCAATCAGCGGATCACACGTGTACACTAATTTGTCATAAAATTGACATCTCTTAATGCCACGTTTTCCCTTATAAATCTGTTACCTTTCCTCAACAACGTCTTACTTGCACTCTTTATTCTCTACTCTGCATCCTCCTCCTTCCTCTCTCGCACTTCTGTAAAACACATGCACAGTGGTAGATATTCCGACTGTAAAATTTGCTCATTCAATGGTGGTTGCGTCTCTATCAACTCCGTGCTCCTTAATTTCCTTCTGCTGCTTTCTGACACAGTCGACTCGCCTCACTTACTTTAGGTATGTGACGTTAACCCGCTCCAAGTTCTATGCAACTTACTCGCAAGCTCGTAGTCGACTCTCCCTATTCTCGCACCTCAACTTGTCCAGCTCGTCGGATTCTGGCGGCTTGGTCTCCTTCGACAAAGGGAATCTTCAGTATGAGCTGCAACATCGAATCGCGACCTGGAGGATGGAAAGATCGCCTGTGTTTGTGACGATTCCCATGGGCACCTTGGGCCCTGAGGGACTACTACTAAGGCGCAAGCCAATAAGAATATTGTTGCAGTCATTGGCCTTAGCGGGTGTAGAAGGAGTTGTCGTGGAGTTGTAGTGGGGCCTGGTAGAGGGGGAGTAGCCTGGGGTCTATAACTGGCGAGCACACGAGAAGCTTCTGGCCCTGGTTGGGCACTACGCCTTGAAGGTCCGAGTAATCATGGCATTTCATCAGTGGGGTACTGGCCCTACGGATCCCAGTTGGTGTGTTTGTCCTTTTATTTGTAACTTTAGTTTGGTAAATCATGGCATTTTGGTTGCTCAACTCAGCTTGTGATTGATGTAATTGAATGAGATTATCTAATGGCATGTGTTTCACTTAAGGCTGATAGTTAGTAATATGAGCTTCAACAATAACACAATGTTGTGCTTGCATAATGTTCATGGAATTGAAAAGTGTTTAACAATGTGAATGCTCGAGATTTTTTCAAATTAAGAAAATTGTTAAAATTAATGATTTTTTCTGTTAAGTTTAAATTCAAAAAATGGAAATCCATCGTAAAGTTGTATAACAGTAGGATACGTAAATTTCATGCGATGTGT